ACACATGGTGCCTATGTGGGGAATCAAACCTGTGTCTTTGGTGTGTTAAGCAAACACTTCAACCACCTGGCTACCCTACTGCCGATTGTTTCAAATCTGAAATATTGCATAAAGCACTGTATATATTTAGTGGTAGACAAATTGCATCACTTGTAAACGATGGTCTGAGGCTGAACTAACACACTTCCCTGTTTTTGAGAATTTTCTTGCGCATAGTGACAGTCTGCAAGGACCACAAAGGGAAAAGGAATTAATGTAACCAGAAAAGCTAAACTCATTCCCCAATGTATAAAGGAAAAACCGTGAAACAATGATGACAAAATAGACACAATTAATGGAAAACAATTTGTTTAAAATAGACGACAAAGAAATCATAATTTATGGATAACAACTTGTTTATCATACTATGCCTTAGTACAATAAAGAATTTGTTTACAAAACATTGTGTACTTAGTCATACATAACAAACAAACTGATAACCATCACTGTGTCAACATAGTCATATATAATAGAGACGTTTATAGCCAAAATGTTTGTTTACTTTGTCATGCATAATAAAAAAGATCTTTTCTATAATTGTGACTGACTGACTGACTGAGTTTGGTTTTACGCCGCTTTTAGCAATATTCCAGCAACATCATGGCAGGGGACACCAGAAATGGGCTTCACACATTGTACCCATGTGGGGATTCGAACCCAGGTCTTCGGCATGGCGAGCCAACACTTTAACCACTAGGCTACCCCACCGCCCCCTATAATTGGGACAACTTTGTCATGTATATTACAGAAATTTACAGCTAAAACTTTGTCCTCTATATCATGCATAATGAAGATGTTGTTATCTACAATTGTGTCAAATTTCATGCCACAACATTTTGACAGGCATTACTTAAAAAAGGTGATTGATGACAAAGCATGCATGATATATGTATAACAACTTATTTATTACACAAAAGTAAAGTATGATAAAGAAGTTTTCCATAGATTGAGTCTACTTCGTCATCCATCAACTTTTTTAAATGCCTATCAAACTGTCTTGGCATGAAATAAGACACAATTTTGACAGATTTACAACGTTGATATGAAACTCTTGAGTGTTCTTAACCTGTTTTGAGTGGTTTACATAACCTCAGTGAGGTGGTTCACTTCAGCTCCTGTGAAAGAGATACCCTGGCTGTACAGTAAGGAGAACAGATCATCTCCAGCATCGTTATACCTGCGTATCATTACCATGTATATTTGCTCTGCACTAATTCCTTGATCCTCCCTTCATTCAAAACCACATAAACATGTTCACAGTTCTCTGAATCCACAAGCAACATATCCTGAAAACATTCCTCCTGCTTAACAATTAGCCGAACGTGGCCGTGTGATCGAGCATCTCTCCCTCGGCAGCATCTCGTAACTACCTTCGTTCATCTATGCTCCCAATCACCGATAATTGATCTAAGCGTGTTTAAGTGATCAGCTGGCTTCTCGTGTTACCCCCTCCCTGCTCCCCGAATCTCCTTCCGCATCCCCCATCACGCATCCCCCTGCCTGTCTCTGCCCGGCTTACCCTCATCCTGGAGTCTTCAATGATTTGGGCCCTCGCCCGATGTACAACTCATTTCTAAAACCCCTCACATTTTAAAATAACTTTTAATTTGGGAGAAAGTTGGAATCAATGGATTGGCTGTAAGATCTATGAGATGTGTTAGGAACATGTCGTGGGCTTTACATGTGGCGAGGAGAAGGCGAAGGGGTGAGTTATCTCTATTCTTGTTTTCTTTCAACACGGAATGTTGATGTTTGTTTTCTTTAGGGCTCTAATTGGTTACGTTTCAATCAATAATGATACCTTTTTTTGTGCTAATGAAGTGTGAAACTGGAAGATGAGATCAACTTTTTCAACCAAAAGTTACAACTTAGAACAGAAGTGAAAAAACAAATATGAGAAACTTTCTTCAACAAAATATCAACTTCTTTCATATGAGCCCCTGAACAAACTTCTTGTATCAAAGAAATCTCCCACTTGCTGTTATACTTATTTAATATATGTTTATTGGATGTAAACCTTTTCAATTACAACAGCATGGAAGACACAATCCAATGTTATATCTGACTAGTCAAAGGAGCACTTAATAACACATTATTTCTGTACCATAATCACTGTATCAAGAACTCCAATGAAATTTAACCACCACCGGACCAAATTCTAGACCAATCTGCAAGTAGTCTCTGAATGGCGTTTAGAATGGAACTCATAAGGGAGAGATACATTTAGGAATCACAACATGTGTATTGTGAGTTGTGGTACAATTGTGTTCTTTATAATATAGAGTTCGACATCCATACATTTCTCTCCCTTAATCTGCAAGTTGCCTATATAAGTATTTATACCGTATATCCCCACCACCACAAAACAACTAACAAGGTGTGATGGTTTCATTTGTGGTAGAATAAAGAATAAAATCTTGTTTATTATTTATCAAAGTAATGATGAGCGGTAATGTTTACTGAAGCGTCATCATCTGAGTAATATAAAACATATGTCCGTTATCCGTTGTTTACATTCTGTTAAATATTCCGTTAACACCAGATAGAAAACAATCTCAACAATGTGCTGAAACAGGTTTCATTCAGTGTAAAAGGTTGAATTTGAAGATTCTTTTTTTGAGACAAAACAACAGAAGGTTGAATTTAAAGTTTCTTTTTTGTAGACAAAACAACAGGTCAGCAAGAATATATTATTATACATGGACATGAAAACTGGCAAAACTTGTTGCCATGGTAACCCAAGTGTTGCGTGAAGTCCTTCAAAAGTCATTCTGTCTCTGTCAGGTGTGAGCACTGATTCCACTATGGAGAAAAGTAATCTCAAAATTGTTTTCCCCCCACAATTTCATGGTCCATATCCACCTAACAAGACATGATATAATTTTCTTTTGAAACGTGCATCCTTCCCAATCACTAACTGATTCAATAAGTACAATTTAACCATGGAGAAGAGCTAATTCCACTCCAAGAGCTCATTGATTATGGCAAGTCCCTTATTAATAGACGCAAGAGAGCACTTTTAACTGCCACCTGCTGAAAGAACTGTTTGATGTCAGGGCAGGTTATGATCTGAAGGTGTAAAGTGGCAAATATATTACTACTTCCACCCACTGCTTCTGTCTTTGGTGCGAGAAGGTCTGGCAAAATGGATGAACAGTGTAAAGATGGCTGACCTTGCGTTCAACAAGTCATTATCTCTGCTGTCTTATTGTGAATGTTCCAGTCATCTGTAAAACACCCCTGGGGAATGTTCTAATGGAGTTAGCCAGAAAATAGACCCTAAAACACATTAAGAAAAATATGGTGCAGAAACAGTGAAAGTGAGGATGTCTTTGGTTTAGACAGTATCTGTGAAATGTCTCTATCTCTTAAAGGTGTGGGTCAGATGTCTGATTGATGTTTTCAGCAAGACGGATATCTGAATGACAGCAGTGTCTGGAAGAGTGAGTGAGTGAGTGAGAGTGAGTGAGTGAGTGAGTGAGTGAGTGAGTGAGTGAGTGAGTGAGTGAGTGAGTGAGTGACTGAGTGAGTGAGTGAGTGAGTGAGTGAGTGAGTGAGTGAGTGAGTGAGTTTAGCTATACGCTGCACTCAACAATATTCCAGCCATATGGCAGCAGTCAGTAAATAAATGAGTTTGGACCAGACAATCCAGTGATCAACAGCATGAGCATTGATTTACGCATGGTGGGATCTGATGACACGCGTGTCAACCAAGTCAGCGAGCCTGACCACCGATCCCGTTAGTCACCTCTTATGATAAGTATTGGTTACTGAAGATCAATTCTAACACGGATCTTCATGGGTCAGTGTCTGGAAGAATGCGACAGTCTTCAAATTGTAGCATGTCTGTCTTAGAAATCTTGTGTGTGGACACAATATCTGTCACAGCGATAGAAATTGAGCAGTTTTGTTACAAGAGTGTGTGAGGGAAGATTGTTTTATGCCTCTTTCTTAAATAATCCCGCAGTATCTAACAACAGAAATGTTTCATCAAACATGATGTCACAATATCCATAGAGGCCTGAAGTGAGGCGACGGATATCAGTTTCTTTTACAGATGGTTGGTGGTCAATCATATGGCTATAAGAAATCGTACACAACTATACAGAATGTAATATTGCCTCAATATTTCCAACTTGCATACAAACACTGAACTTGAAATAATAGATAATACCCTTTTGCAGAAGAATTTCTCCACCTGCGTCAGGAAAAGGTCAACCAGGTCAGGTCAGGTTTAAAGTTACATTCAAGATAATTGTATTCATACACAGATGTGCACATGGGAGTAAGTCGGCTTGTACTAATCAATACTTATGCTTTTTTCTTCATGCTAGCACACTGAGAAATCATGACAGTTTTAAGATACATCACTCAGACACAGTATACTGACACCAAGAGATCTAGTCCATCTTTCATCCCTTTAATGACAAGTGCCACACACGGTCACAACATGGACCACCTTTCGAAAAACAAGGCTGGGGTTAAAACGACCAACCACCACTTCTCAATGCAGAAACTTTATCCACCTAAGTCCCCAAAGGCATGTGAGTGAGTGAGTGAATATGGGTTTAAACCACTTTTAGCAATATTCCAGCAATATCACCGTGGGGGACACCAGAAATGGGCTTCACACATTGTACCCATGTGGGGAATCGAACCAGGGTCTTCAGCATGATGAGCAAACGCTTTAACCACTATGCTACCCCACCGCCCCAAAGGTATGAGAGACAACTGGGGATGCAAGCTTTAATCTTTAAGAGGGCGGTGGGGTAGCCTAATGGTTAAAGCGTCGGCTCGTCATGCTGATGACCCGGGTTCGAATCCCAACATGGGCACAATGTGTGAAGCCCATTTATGGTGTCCCATACCGTGATATTGTTGGAATATTGCTAAAAGCGGCATAACACCCAACTCACTCACTCACTTTAATCTCTAAGATGGCAGCAATGTATAACACTTACCGTATTTCTTCAGGAAACAGTGATGAGGGATGTAACTTATCTTCCTGTGGACAGATACAGAAACTTTAGAAAAACACAAACAACACAACAACAAGATTTGCCAAACGGTATCATCATCCAACATGTTCCACAGAGAAGAACAGCTGAAACATGTACTCAGTTGTTCAAGCCAATAATGAATCAGCTGATACCAGCAGGTGTTATACCAATTAATGTCTGTATTAACTGTTGAAAGTAACAAAAGAGAAACAATACTGATTTTCCTCCGATATGAAATTGGTACAAGTCACATATGTAATAACCTTGATATTTTACAAGAATCTGTTTTCATAGAGTCAAGGCAATTAACGGATAGTTCTAATAATAGCTGCGGCAGGAAGGTTTCTGGCAGTGCCGTGACTGGTGGAACACACACCAACAGGTGTGACTGACGTCCCCTCTCTCCTTGATACATAACATCGCGCATGTCATCATAACAAAACATGTCTCAGGCCAATTTATTTTTGGGGTTGTTAGTGGCTTACAGATGTTACAGCAACATTCAAATGAAATTAAAATGATTTTTCTGATATATCTATTTATGCTTTACTCCTGACTCTAAAGGTATACAAAATTAAATATAGTAACATGAAATTAGTTTGTGCTGGAAAAAAGCATTCACTGTAAAATATGAAACACATTGCAAAATATTAGTTGTTTGCTGTGTAACACCGCACTCAGCAATATTCGAGCTATATGGTGGCAGTTTGTAAGTCTGGACCAGACAATGCTGTGATCGACAGTGTGAGCATCAATCTTTGCAATTGGGATACGATGACATATGTCAACCAAGTCAGCGAGTCTGACCACATAATTCTGTCAGTCACCTCTTTAAGAAGCAATGTAGATTGATAAGACTTTGATATAATAAATTCAGTCGTACATTTTTGTCAAAGAACATTCAAGTGCCTTGTGATAATTATGTTTTTCTTTACCATCCCCATTGAAAATTCCATTAGTCAGCTAAAAAAACAAGAATTGCCTTAAGAGCTTCATGTATTCTCTCAGAAACTATCTCAATATCCATTCAATTCTGGGGCAAAAGTAGTGGAACGCAACAGTTTGTCTTGATGGTAAACAAAGACAGAATTTGTTTGAGATACTATGTGTTGTTTAAGGCTGTAAGTATCTATGAATATTCAGTATCAATATGACAGTCTGGTCGGGACAAACAATCAGGGATCGATATTGTGAGGAATACAAATCATCAATGTCACCAAGCCTCATCATCCAATCAATTTAGTCGTCTCCGACCAGCGTAGGTATCTGTGACCAATTCTAACCTTGAACCCCCACAGTTCAAGTCATAGTCTCTTTCTTCTACTAAGCCAACTTTGGAAATATTCTGACAGAGTTTTACAACAATCAAGTCCAGACAGCATAGTTGTCTGTGACCAATTCTAACTTAGAATCCCCACAGTTCAAGTCATGGTCTGTTTCTTCTACTATGCCAACTTCCGCAATACTCTGACAGTCTATGAATTATGATGTCCGGACCAGACAATACAGTGATTGATATGATCAGTAACAGTCCATGATGGGTCTAATTATTTTATCTCCTTACAACCAGCATGCCTTGCTGGGGACCTGCTTCAGTCTGGAATCCCCCTGTGATGAGTTATAGGTGGCGCTACTGGGCAGTACATATGGCGGCCATGTTTGATTTATGGACTGAATGTCTGGGTGGTAATGATGGCAGGTATATGGCGGATGGTCAGCAGGATGCTTATCAGACTACACCTGTTCACAGCGTGAAAATATGTCCATCTTGGTTGCAATATATCAACGGCTGAATACAGGTCAACATAAAACATCCTTGTCCATTTGTAAAACCATATATCCATGTCATGGTGGAATAATACACGTCAGCCATTATTTTCATTTTCCACTTCTGATGTAACTATGAGAGGTTAATCATTTGAAAATCAGTTTGATAATATTTAGCTTTGAACTTGATCATTTATTGATGAAACTTACAGTATGCTCCTCCAATGAGCAAAAAGTGACCTTGATGTCAAGGTGAAGGCTTTACGAGAATTAGTGTTGCGTCCTTGATATTACGACCGCCTCCGTGGTGTAGTGGTTAGAGCGTCCGCCCGGAGAGAGGAAGGTCGCGGGTTCGATCCCCGACCGCGTCATACCAAAAGACATTAAAGTATGGTACTTGTTGGTCCCTGCCTGGCGCTCGGTAGTAATGGGTACAACAAGGACTGGTTGGCTCGGGAGTCAGTATAATGTGTCTGAGTTGGGTATTCATGCTTCACTGCGGCATGGCATCTCAGTGGGCTAGCACTATAAAACCAGCTTAAGTCTGGGTTAGTACAAGCAGCCGCACATACACATACACATACACACGCATGCACGTCGTCATATGAGCGAAACATTCTCAAGTACGACGTTAAAACCCAATTTCACCTCACCTCACCTTGATATTACTGCAATTCTACATTACAACCCATAGTTACTTCGGCAACACATCTTGGCTTCATGTCACTCTTAATATTAACTAATAAATATATTGCAAGTGATTCCATGGCATTTGATTGTCTAGGAAAGCAATATTTTCTGTTTGGTGAGTACTAGTGTTTCCTGAATGGCCATATTTGTGCCATTTCGATCTAACAGTTTGAAAGTGACATCACTGAAGAGGACACTACAGTAAGTTCTGAACAGATATCATGGAGTGGCATTTGCAATACAGATTCTTGCTGCTTGACAATCGTACAAGAATCTGTAACGAGACATCGCACTCACAAAATATAGAAGTTGTTGTCCATAAAGTTTGTCTATATCTTAACGCATTGTATACTAGTACATGTGGGGTGTCAATATCTCCAATCTCAGCAGGGCTCGATTTAAGAGATGTTAACCTACTTGCACCAGGTGCAACCTAAGATAAAAACCTAGTTGCACCAGTCAAATTCCGGTTGCACTGCTTTTATTGCAATATGTAATGCAAGATATATGGTATTGAATTATTTAGATGTTTTATTGAGAGTTTACCCACTCAAAAATTGAGTTGCACCAGGTGCAAGCTCAGCTAATAGCTAGATTGCACTGTGTAATATTTGGGTTGCACCAGTGCAAGTAACAAAGTACTAAATCGAGCCCTGCTCAGCCCAATAAATCTATGACTTACACTGCTTGAGTTAGCGAGTGAGTTTGGCTTAAGTCTGACTTAAGTGGTACTCCAGTTATATCCCCATGTGTCAGCCTGATACGGAAGGCTATATTAAAATGATGCAGGTCAAAGACATTTACATCTTTGGCGAAACCTCTGAGCACTTGTATGGTGTTGAGGGGCAGTGGGGTAGCCTAGTGGTTAAAGCGTTCGCTCATCACGCCGAAGACCCGGGTTCAATTCCCCGTATTGTGAAGCCAATTTCTGGTATCCCCCACCAGACATTGATATTGCTGGAATATTGCTAAAAGCGTAAAACCATACTCACTCACTCACTCACCCAATGTTGTCTGGTGTTGACAATGTAGAAGTGGTAGAATCAATCAGGCCTAACCAGGAAACACACAACATTCATAGGATTCTGCTCTCCTAAGGGACACAACTCTGGCAAGTAACAGGACCTCAGATGACCAGACCACTCACGTTCCCACATAATTAGAATCCAGATCCTATGTTTATTTACACATGTACGTCAAAATCTGGACTGACTGACTGATAAGTGTACATATTTCTGACTCCAAGACAGCTGGTTGCTTACTTTATCAATTATTCACTAGGCAACTCAATGCCTGGATGAAAAAACTATGAAAACATAGATTATGATTGGAATCTGATGTGAATCTTCTATAGCCTGAGGTAAACATCTAGATACTTGTAAACCCACTGGAAGTAGAAGCAGGAATATCTTTCGCAGTGTGTATATTTACAAAGGATATCACAAGCAGATGTCTGATACATGTATATGCAAGGATAAGATTAGTTTATTCTTGTTAGCATTTTCAGATGAGTTCTGTGTAAACTGAACAATAAAAAGTTAATGACCATGAATATTTTGAAGGCATATTTTAATTTAATTGTGCACCCAGTCGTCACTACCAAAATATATTCTCAAAAGTAAATAGGATCACTTTGTCTATACATTAGAATTCACCATGTTTAGACTTGGACATTAGACCCTAAGGAAATAATAAGTTCATGAATAATATTTCCAGATTATACAAGTAATTAAAAGAAGCTTTTAACTGTAAACTCCTGCCATCTTAATTAATCACAGCCTAAAACTACCTTGGGTAAAAAATGTGCCCAGGAACATTAAACTTAATGTAATTAAAGTACGAAGAATTTAGATGTGAACTACAACAATAACTACAACAATGATTATAGATGATAAGGGTTGGCTCAGGTGTTTCAATAACTACAACAATGATTATAGATGATAAGGGTTGGCTCAGGTGTTTCAATAACTACAACAATGATTATAGATGATAAGGGTTGGCTCAGGTGTTTCAATAACTACAACAATGATTATAGATGATAAGGGTTGGCTCAGGTGTTTCAATAACTACAACAATGATTATAGATGATAGGGTTGGCTCAGGTGTTTCAATAACTACAACAATGATTATAGATGATAAGGGTTGGCTCAGGTGTTTCAATAACTACAACAATGATTATAGATGATAAGGGTTGGCTCAGGTGTTTCAATAACTACAACAATGATTATAGATGATAAGGGTTGGCTCAGGTGTTTCAATAACTACAACAATGATTATAGATGATAAGGGTTGGCTCAGGTGTTTCAATAACTACAACAATGATTATAGATGATAAGGGTTGGCTCAGGTGTTTCAATAACTACAACAATGATTATAGATGATAAGGGTTGGCTCAGGTGTTTCAATAACTACAACAATGATTATAGATGATAAGGGTTGGCTCAGGTGTTTCAATAACTACAACAATGATTATAGATGATAAGGGTTGGCTCAGGTGTTTCAATAACTACAACAATGATTATAGATGATAAGGGTTGGCTCAGGTGTT